TACAGATCTGGCTAGGGGGAGGGTAGTCTTTAGCACCAAGTATTCTTAGCTGTGGGCTCAAAAGCAGGATCCTATTTCACTTAAAATGAAACAATTCTTGACATAGCAATATGAGTTGCTTTCCTTTCAATCTCTGTTTCATATAATTAGAAGCATAAGTGCATCATTTGTGGTAGACTTTTAAATATGTGTATACAGTAAATTTTACAAATTGTTCAGAAATGGGTTTTTTAAAATAGTCTAGTTGATTACTGTTTACAGAACTTTTTCATATATATTATGCCTTTTAATTAAATGCTTGGATATCCTTGATATTCTTTTCTTTCCAGTTACATTTTCTCCTCATAGTGCATGAACTCCATTCCAGAGCCAAAGATATCTAATTGGAGCTGAGCTAATTAAAACCTAGTTCATAAAAGTAACTTATTTACATATATTTTAATCTCCCATTATAAGAAAAGGATACTTAAAATCGTCCTGCTATAGCTAGGCTTCTTTACAGTCAAAATCACATTAGAATGTAGGATATCCTGATGGCAGGAGATGATGCCTTTAAAATTTTAGAGATAGAGACTGAAATACATTTGTGAGGGTTTAGGTGGACATGGGGGAATAAAAATTGACATAGCTTAATGAATACTAGAACCAAAATAATCCCTAATTTTGCTCCTCTGTGTGTGTGTGTGTGTGTGTGTGTGATTTAACATGTTCCAGAAGATGAAATATCTTCTAAAAGGAAGAAATGTGGAAGGGCAGGTGATAACCATACACCTACTATCACACCTACTTTTCCACACTTACTTATTAAACATTGTCCCCAAAGTCAGAAGACAAAGAATTTGCATTTTATTTTCTTCATCCTAAATGTCTTTCTTTTCCAAATTTCTTCTCATAAAACTGTTGTCTTACCTCTGTCCCCTCAGCAAGTCTCCTTTAATTTCTAGTACACAAAGGCTTTAAAGTCACTCTATTACTAAGTTATATCCTTATTACTTTCAAAAACATTAGTAAATAGAATATTTTTAATTATTATTATATAGTCAAAATGTATATAAAATCTTGTTTGGCGCCCTTTGAAATTTTGAATTACAAGATATAACTTACGTTCTCTCCAGGAAAGAGTAAAATAGTAAAGAAACAGCAAACTCCTTAGAATATAAAAGTAACTTGATTTATCCCTGTTGACTATAAAAATAAATATACTTTCTCAAGATCTATTTCTCATGAAGGTATCAGGCTAACACTGTTTACTTTGTGCTGAAAAATAAAATAACTTGAATGAATTTTTTTTAAAAAGATTTATTTGTGCATACAGAACTGCGGTACAGGCCAGAGGTTCAGGGGCGGTGAGAGGCTTCACCATAGACAGAGTGGGGAGCAGAACAGGCAGAT